TTGATTACTGTTGGTGCATCTTGCCACTCAGACGGTCAGACCTCATGGTCGATAATGGGCCTCATGTTTGTCATTTCTAGTGTTTGTACCCAATACAAACTGTACTGTAGGCAAACTGTAGGCAAACCCTGGAAGAATTTAGGCACACTCTACTGATCACAGAAGAAACTATTGTGGCAATTGTGTACTTAAAACACAATCTAAGAAAAACTGTATTTCATTGCATTGTTAAGCCGTGAAGGGTCTGTTCAATTTGTGAGAAGACCCCAGGTGCGCTCGGTCCGCGGTGTTGCCTGCAGACTGACACACTGAAAAGGAGCCTTTCTACCGTGGCCGACAAGGACAAACCTGCGTCGCCTGCGCGCACACCTGCGTCGCCTGCGCGCACACCTGCGTCGCCTGCGCGCACACCTGCGTCGCCTGCGCGCACACCTGCGTCGCCTGCGCGTATACCTGCGTCATGTCTGCAAAGAGCTTCCTCGTCTGCGCACGACTACCTGCGTCGTGTCTGCCAAGAGCTTCCTCACGCCTGCACAGAAAGAGCTTCCTCGTCTGCGCACGAATACCTGCGTCGTGCCTGCCAAGAGCTTCCTCACGCCTGCACAGAAAGAGATTCCTCGGCGACCTCGCTGCGCGCAACGAAAGCTCGCTGCACGGAAGAATACGTGTCACCCCTGCCTTGTTGAAGAATGGACGGTCCCCTATTATAGGTCAAGGGTCACATCGCAGTGACACTGTTCGCTGTCGTTTTTGTTTACTTCAGTCTCAAATTTGTTTTAGTTTTTATGCTTACAATGTCCGGCTGTTAAAATATGTAAATATTTATGCTTAATTTATATTCAGGCCATTCCAATTAAATTTCTTGGTACTGGGATGATTTTCAGAAAATTATTGGACACTTGTCTAACATGATACTTGTCTTCTTGCTTGTCATCCCAATGCTTCCACTGTTGTGAAATCATACTATGATTATCTATAAAAAATAAGGCAACATAGACAATTGCATGGCAGGTTTTGTCTTTAATGTGTATCAAAAGGAATGCAAAAAACATGGTACAACACAGGCAATACCTTGGGTTTACGACAATAATATTTACAAAATTGTACACAGTGATGTAACAAGTTATTTCTATCATGATCATAATGATTCCAGTCAAAATGCATGTATCTATAACCTTCCAATATATTAAGGTATGTCTTATTAGAATTGATCCTACCACATACACATATACTTGTCTTTAGATATCATAACACAGAACATTATAATGCCAACAATGAAATGGCTTGACTTGCGTAGATATATATATATATAATACACTGTCAGATTTTAAACCAAGGTACGAATATTCTGGTCTTAACATTAAATGATGAAAAGGAAGATAGCAATAGATAGTGATCTGGTGTCTTAGGCAGGGTTGAACTCCACATTCCTGGTGTAGAACAAACCAGTACCACCCTTGGTCCGGTACTTTAACTAGAAAATAAAGAGAATAATAATGAGATGAAAGCACCATAATCATTTGCTTTCTTTCTGCAGACAATCAGTAACTAAAATACTGTCAAATTTCATACTGCATCACATAACATTGCATAATCCTCTGGTACATGCATTACATTTCTATTCATACACCATGACTTTGTATGGCTTTTTCTAAGTTGATACCCCATCATGGGTTCCTATTCCACAATAATATTACTAGTATTGGTAGTGCAGCTCATAGGTGATCATGAGTGTTTTTAATAAAATCCAAACATTGATGAATATCATTTAGTAAACATTTACTGCAGGTGGGGGAGGGGGACCTGGCCAATGCTTACACTAGGTGTATCATTCTCTTATGCTCATGCTTCTGGTTGATAGGAATGTATCTCTTTGAAATTACAACATATGTTAGAAATATGTATATATATGTACTACTTTTCTACTTTATTTGGGAAAAGATCCTTTATTTGTTTGAGAATTTCTCCCTAGGATTATAGTTGACACCCAAAGCAGTTTTGAGTGTCCACAATATGGATGACAAATCATTGAACATGTTTGAAAGTCTATAATTCTTTATCAAAAACATGTACATTTTCAATATCCTGCAATATGTTGGACTTACATATGTAGTTTTGTTTCATTTGACTTTTAAAGAAATCTGTTGTGGTTTTGAAATGTATGCAAGTACCTGAAATTCCCACAATGTAAACAATATGGCTGACAAAATGTTGGGAAGTTTGAGAGTCTATATTTCTGGATCAAATGATGGATCTCTTCTATATCCTGCAGTAGTGGGATAGGAGATATGCAGTTATGTTCTGTTTGACTTTGAAGAAGATCATTCTATATTTTTGAATTTATGCCAGCACATGATGTTCACACACTGTAAACAATATGGCTGACAAAATATTAAGCAACTTTGACAGTCCATATTTCTGGATCAAAAGTCATGATCACTTTGATATTCCAGAATATGTGGGAGTGACATAAGTAGTCAAGTTTCAGTTCAGTTTGAAGAAGATCAGTTGATGTTTTTGAATTTATGCCAGCACCTGAAGTTCACACATTGTAAACAATGTGGCTGACAAAATAAAGGCAACTTTGACAAGGTGTATTTCTGAATCAAATGAATGGATCTCCTCAATATTCTGGAAAAGGTTGGAGGGATATCTCTAGTTATGTTTTATTTTACTTTAAACAAGATTGCTTCATTTTGTTGAATTTATGCTTTTGTTGAATTTATACTGTAACGTTACATGTGCCTCGCCCCCCCCCCCTTCCCCCATATCGTCGCCTACTTCAAATCCGGTCTAAAACCGTGTATATCGTCGCGGGTCGGGAAGAATCGATGCCCAGACTGCCATAGGATGTCCTCAAAATGTTTCTTTGGAATCATTCGCTTTGTTCATGCAAATAAACAACGGGCACTTACCGGGGAATATTGAAGACGAGGTGTTCTGGTGTTAGGGGGCAGATTTCGTAAGGGCAATATTAACATAATCTATGCAGGATTTCTATTAATTAATTTTATCACTAACGGGCCCGTTATTGATTAATAAACGCGCTGGACATTGTAAGCATAAAAACTAAAACAAATTTGAGACTGAAGTAAACAAAAACGACGGCGAACAGTGTCACTGCGATGTGACCCTTGACCTATAATAGGGGACCGTCCATTCTTCAACAAGGCAGGGGTGACGACGTATTCTTCCGTGCAGCGAGCTTTCGTTGCGCGCAGCGAGGTCGCCGAGGAATCTCTTTCTGTGCAGGCGTGAGGAAGCTCTTGGCAGGCACGACGCAGGTATTCGTGCGCAGACGGGGAAGCTCTTTCTGTGCAGGCGTGAGGAAGCTCTTGGCAGACACGACGCAGGTAGTCGTGCGCAGACGAGGAAGCTCTTTGCAGAGATGACGCAGGTGTGCGCGCAGGCGACGCAGGTGTGCGCGCAGGCGACGCAGGTGTGCGCGCAGGCGACGCAGGTGTGCGCGCAGGCGACGCAGGTTTGTACTTGTCGGCCACGGTAAAGATCAGCCACACTACAGTGCAAATATTTTTCTGCAATGACGAGAAGGTCGGGAGAGGCATTGAGGTTTACTCCGGCAGTTCGGGTGTTTCATCCGTATGCTGATCGACAAGACAGCTGCTACGACTGAAGCTGGTCCTAGGCCTAAGACTGCTTTGAGGTATGAGAAGTCTGTTTTAAATCGAGTACCTTGTACGGAAAAAACACGGGTGAAATATTCCTAGAAGGGGAGTATAAAATAAATGCATACATGTATCAAGGCTCCTTGCATGTGTTTTGCATGGATAATGATCGTTTATTCGTTTCTGGTTATTTATACTTGATGTTGGCAAAATATGTGTTTTCTTTTATTCTTAAATTTTTGGTCCACATTTGGCACGTAAATTGCTAATTTTCAGTCTGATTTGTAAGGTATTTTGGCATCTATAGCTGTAAACAAACTACGCATTCAAGCTCAAAGCTCTTTTTGAAGTACTATTTGGGGGGGGATTTTTAGTCTAAATTTTCTTAAGAATTCTTTTTCCCCATCATTTTAGCTTTGATATCCAATTCAGTAACGTTGTCAGCTCTTCCATTTCTTTGATTGCATTAAGACACATTGTGAACTAGGAACAGAAGGTTCACTTTTCTTTTCACATGTACATGTATTGTACATGTATACAGGTATGATGAAAGCATCAAGAGAACAAGGTCAGCAGGAGTGGATGTTTCCAGCCTATGCTGGGACTGGGAGCACACAACAATGTAGCAATAACAACACAGGTGAGTAGTGAGGTACATTTGAGATGGATTGTTGCAGAATATACCCTTTAAATTTAAGGCACTTTGGGGACAGTAAAGACGTACATTTAACTACAACATATAACCTATTAAGCCTTTATGTTGAAAAAAAAAAACATTTTTTTTCTGAAGAGTTGGATTTTAGACTATTGTTCCATATTTTTCCACCTGTTTCATGTAGGGCAGTGACATGCACTTCACCAGTAGCACAGTACTATACTACTAGTCAGCCAGATTGAAGTCAGGGGTGATGAAGACGATGCTGCCTTTGGTGTGCTGGAACTGCGGTGAGGAGGAAACGCTGCCCATACTGGCAGAGAAGACTCAGCTGCATACCAGACAATAAACCCTGTTTGTCAGGTAGGCATACATTTGTTACCTACTTAAATACATTATGCAACTTATGTAGAATAGCTCTAAACATATTTTGTTTGGTTCCACCTTTATTGATATTCTTTCTCAAAAGCTCCTATAGACTATTTGCATAGGTAGAAATGCAGTAATGCATGCAAAGGGTTAATCAGCAACTAATTTTGCCTTTTATGCTTTGTTTCTGCAGGCCTGCAAAAATGTGACAGGACGACAACTGCCGTTCCACCTGATTTATTGCTGTTTTGATGATGAATAAAAGACTTCTTGCTTGTTACACTGTGTCACCTCATTTAATTTTTGTCCTAACATCTGTTGTCTCTTAGTATATTTCTAATCTAGGCATCTTGTTTTTTTGGGCCCTTCTTGTTTTTTTTTCGCCCTCTCGCATTAGATTTGGAGTCTCCAAAGGACGTCATCCATAAAATTTACTTGGTGTGGCCTTATGAAAACTTACTCAGACGGTGGGACTGGGACTGGACCCCCCCCTCCTTTCGTTTCGAAGATTTCTGCTAAAGATATTCAACAAATACACTTTAATAATATAAAACTGAACTGCATCAGGTCACTAAAATCTTCAAAACCTATAATAAAAAACATACATTGCACATTAGTACATCAATAAGCTGAACAAATAAGTATAATGTTAACTACACACACACCACACAGTTAAGGTGACTTTTTATCGCAACAGAAATGGCGATAATATGCAATAAAACAGTTTTAATCACTTGAATGTCAAATTCTACGTCCCAAGACAGTGGTCGACCCCTTCAAAAAGGATAGGGCTGGCAGGGTTTTGCTATCGTCATTCAGGTTCACCGCATACACAAAATTTATTTTCCAAGGCCAAACCTGTAGTTGGTCCGGGAGTACAGGTAATTAATTCAGACCGGGCCTTACACACCGCAACGTACTGTACGCTTCTCGTCTTGACTGGTGAGTACACTAGGATATATTAGGGACATTCTTTGTTTAAGCTTGCTAACAACATTTCTTCTGCAATGTGTACAGTGACGTTTCTAATGGCGAACTTAATTTTTGGACTCAAACTTGCCGACTATAGCTGCCATATAACTGTATTGGCGAAAGGTCAATACAGTAGACATCGACGGTTGTTGTAGACTTTGCATGCCCCCAGACACGCCCCCTAGTCACGTCCTAACTTTGGCGAACGAAGGTGTTTTTTTATGAATCTGTTTGCGAGTGCATGTTCGTAAGAAGGTTCTCAGAATGTTGCAGTACTTGTGTGAACTATTATAAAACCAATGCACGGATTGTTCGAAAAAATCAAACATGAACACTGCGTCCAGAACACGCCACTGTTGTTGGTTGGGAAAATAGCTTTAGGGGCTCAATTTGACTTAATGTTGTGTATGCGCCCCTGTGTGTCTGTGTATCTGCCTGTGTTTATATGTACACCTGTATGCACGTGCATGTATACGCGTGTGTCTATACGTGTGTACGTATGTATGTATGTATGTATGTATGAATGAATGCATCCAATACCTTTCGTCAGTGACTAAGAGACTGCAGGAGAAATGCAGGTTTGTAAGCACAAACTATTGATTGATATGAAAATACGCGAAGACAGTTTTTTTTTTAAGTCCAAGAGAAAACAAACGTTAGACAAGGATGATGCAAATTAGCAAAGAAGCTCCTATTGTTTCAGAACACGAGCTTAAGTGTTGTCTGTCCTTGGGGCTGAGAGCAACAAGTTCAAGTGCCTGAGACATCTACCTGTAGCCCCCCTTCCCTGTTGAGGTAGAGGTCAAATGTTAGTCACTGCTAGTCACGTGGTCCATTCCCTTTGCCAGACAATGTAAAAGGGCATCTTTGTTGTGATACACACACTTGATTTCACTGGATAACTTGATACTAAAACATGCATTCTTTAAACAAATTTCAATCCCTTATTCGATCCCGTGTAAAACTATACTGTACATAAACACGTCAATTATTATATCATTTTGAGTTGAACACAGCTATGTTCGGGTCTGCTTCGTCTTATATAGAGTCACGTACACTGCCACACAGGTTATCTTGAAATATCGTCTGTTATGGTAGAAGTCATTATGAACGATATTGAACTGCAATTGCCAACACGAAAAAATGGACTCACTCAAATTTTGCACTGTACAACTCCATTCCTTGTCAAGGAATGAGCACTCCACCGCTTCCTTGACAACGACTGGAGCTGTACAGTCGAAAATTTGGGTAAGTCCACTTTTTTTTGTGTTCAATCTTGTTCATAATACCTTAAAGGTTGTTATCTATGGATGGGGTACTACTATAGTCTACAAATGCACATGTTCCATTGCACATTGACATGAAGGTACCTTATCTTGAAAGTTCATCTGTGTTGGTATAAGTCATTATGCAGCAAGTTTAAACTGTAATTGACAAAGACTGGAGTTGTACAGCCGACAATTTGGGTTAGTCCACTTTTTTGTGTTCAATCTTGTTCATAATACCTTAAATGTTGTAATCTATGGATTAGTTACGGCTATAGACTGCAAATGCACATGTTCCATTGTACATTAACATGAAGGTACCTTATCTCGGAAGTTCATCTGTGTTGGTAGAAGTCATTATGCAGCAAGTTTTAAACTGTAATTGACAAAGACTGGAGTTGTACAGTCGAAAATTTGGGTGAGTCCAATTTCTTGCGTTGGAAATTACAGTTTAAACTTGCCGCATGAAGGTACCTTATATTTAATTATTGACTCATGAACATAGATGTTGAAGAGAACGTCTAGACAGAAAAAAAGCCAAACAGACACCAGCACGATCATATCATAAATCAACTTCTTAACATGCACAGGAGACGTGAGCTGGATTAAGCAGTACGACCAGTTTTCCCGCCTATTTTATGAGTACAAAGATCAAAGGTTAACGTTATACCATTATGTCGATTATCAGGGAAAATGGTATGAACGTATATGGAAATACATTCAGACGTAACTTCTTATAACGAACATACAATGCATTTTGCTATCTTAAAACCCCAGTGCCACGGAATATTTTAACTCAGTCTGAGAATTAACGCTACAATTTACACTTCATCTCCTTTGAAATCAGGCAGAAAATTCAGGCAGAGTGCTGCCGGCGCTGATGATTAATATCGAGGTTACCTCTTCTCTTGTCATAATCTGCTTAGCAGGCCTCTACGGGCTTTTTCTTCACTCTTTTCTGTGCAGAATACAAAATTGTTTCTGATCTCTGTCGTACTCAATGTTCATAACTCAGTCATTAGAACACGGCGTTGCTCAGAACATTTGGTCGTTATCAGAAGCACACGGAAGATGTCCGTATCAAAACGCCCTAAGAAGCCTGCTTTGGAGACTATCCCTAAGTAACGTAGAGTCATGATAGGGCGAAGTGCACTGATAATTGTCAGTAGTCCACCCAGTCTTGCTGAACACCATGTCTGAGACGGGGTAGAAATCTTATAGCTTCTTTAAGAATTGCGACTAAAGCTGTGAGTACGAATGTGTATTTCTTGAATTCATGAAATATTGTTACAGATGTAAGGTTTACAAGTATTTTGTAAAACAGTCGCTTCTGAATACGTTTTGCGGCCACGGAATATTTTGTCACTTAGAACCATATGGTCGATGGCAAGAAAAGGGAGCTATGTGCTACGGGGGGGCTACTAATATGGCGTCGTCTTGGACAAAGGCTGCCGGTCGCTATAGATCCGTTACCCGGTATTATTTTACAGACTACACGGGTCCCCTCGTTGTAAACTTAAATATATACCTATATAAAATTGGAGGTCAGTATCCTTACCCTTCCAACTTGTCACTGCCGAAAGAATCCTCTAGTAACCGTATCTATACGTGACAAATGAATCTCTTCAGCCATTTTCTAACGTTTTGTTTCTAGGCAAAAGCTGGACGGCTGAAGGGACCAATGGAGATTCTCGTCAAAACAAAGACGGGGAACTACCTCGGAGCAGGGACCTACGGGACAGTGTACATCAACTTTGTGGACTCCGGTGGAAAGGAATCTGGTGACCTGAGTCTTGACGTATGGTTACAATATGATCACCAAAGGGGGACAGAGGGAGAGTAAGTAACAAAACCCCTCCTCTCAGTCTTACATGGGAAAATCCAAAACTTAAACAAGACTGGCAATGAAAATATACATTGCCATGGCGACGGTGGTTGCTGTTAGGGTTATTGTTTGCATGGCACTGCCATCATTTCATGATTTTGAGGAAGACTTGGTATCTGTTAAATCTAGACAGATACAGTGTACCCCCCCCCCCCTGAGTGTATAGTGAAAGAGCCCCGGGGTCACAGAAAGTAGGACCATCAGGGGCAGAGAGGTCTTCCCAAGGGTTCCAGGAATGTGGGCATAGATGTGGGTCAGATAAATGCCTGTGGACATTCCGCATGCCTGTGGACAAAGTGCCTGTACCATTCCTAGAATTCTTGCAAATTGCACACAATACAATAACAATTTTTAGACCTTTTACACCTTTGCCACTTTTCGAAATTCCACTTCAAGCTTCAACATAACATTCTGTGTCATTTCCTAACTTATTAGAATGTTAACAATCTATCTTTTATATGATCTGTCCAAATTTTATTATCCTTTCTATTTGGTAACCAATGATTTGCAAATTTAAAGGGCCATTATGTAAGTTTTTTGCAAAATTGAAATAATCGAAGATATATTCGTGTGTGATTATAATTTACTTCTACTTTTCAAAATATTTGTGCAATCATCTCACATTTCTGACATTTGTAGTTGAGGCTTAAACAGCCCATACGAGATCGTGGTGCCACCACATACTACCAGAATGTAAACAAACATGGCTGACATCTGTGTTTCAAGCTTTTAGACGCATTCGTAAGACATCATATTTTCGCATCTTAACTTCCAGAATAGCACATATTTGCAATGGAGTAGGGTTAATTCAACTGTCTGTAAATAATTGACCCAAAATTTCACTGATTTGTATCGTCCTGATGAGACATGATGCAGCTTTAAGAAAATCTATTTTCAGGTACACTTTGCAGTGTGGTGACATGACGCCCCCTATTCAGGAGCTGAAGTTATCACTGGGCAACTGGGCACCGGGTGACGCCTGGTTCTGCAACTCTCTTTCCGTTCAGTTTGAACCAAAGAGCAACGGGCCGACTTTCTACTTCCCTGTGGATCGCTGGCTTGCACCAGGTATCTGTATTTGTATAGCCGGTATAACAACCCTTCGGCGTAACACACCAGCTTCGCAGGCGCGCGGCGCAGCAGCTACGTTACACAGAACGACTTGCTACACCTAACCTTTGAACATTTATATTGTACCTCTAAATAGTGTTAAAAGTTATCTAATGATGATGCCCCTTCTTTACTTGGTGGCAGCAAGTTCCACTTTGCGATCATAGTTCTAGAAAAAGAATGTCCGCGTCCTCTTCTCTTCTGCGCTGCGTCTAGCTTTCCCTGAGTTCAGCTGCCTGGACAGTGTGGAACTCCATCTGGGTCGATCATTGCCATTGGCAAAGTCCTCTCAGTGCTCAATGTCAATGTCGAGACCCTTGGTATCAGACTAGACTCACAATTTGTTGTTTGTATGTTGTTGTTGTTGTTGTTGTTGTTGTTGTTTTTGCTAACCTTCAAGCAGATCTTTTGGTGGGGGTAAGACAGTATCAAATTGGCCAGTATGTATGCATTTCCCGACTAGACTGGCCAATTTGATACTGTCTTACCTCCACCAAAAGATCTGCTTGGAGATAAGTTTTTGCTACAACTGACCTATTTGTGCTAACAGGTACCTCTGTGTGGCTGGTTCCAGGCGGTTGTGTCCTCCCTCAGCACGAGAAGCGGACCCATCAGAGGCAGACTGAGCTCAAAGTGATGCGGGAGCGCTACGACTCCTTCAACCCCGTGGAAGGCCTTCTGCCAATGGTATGATACGTATGGTTGCCATGCTTCTCTAAGCTTACTTGTTTATGTATAACATCTGTCACATATACATACGCTATTAGTTTTAGAGATAGAACCTTACATTAGTAGGCGTAGAACTTTATGTTAGCACATGGTTTATGCCATTCTACATCCGTACTCATGGCCTTTGTCAGCTTGCAATTATATTAGCCCTCGGGCATAACCTTGATATAAAAAACTAGAATATCCCACCATATTGTAAAGTGATTGTAATTTGATTGTAATTCTTGGCTACAAGAGTTTTCTTTCACACAACCAAACTGTTTACCTTGCTGACATTTCGATGTCTGTCAGACACCATCCTCAGAGCTTCTGACTGGAGTTCTGCTTCTCAAAAAGAAATTCTTGTATCCTACACTTTACCGGTATACCAACCTGATGAAGCTATTTTTTGGAAGATTGTAATTCTTGTTATGTATACGGTTTACTCGTTTCTTTAATAGATTTACACATAATCTTCTCTCTCTCACACACACAGCTGAAGAAGCTACCTATTGAGGCGTCGTTTTCAGATAAGCAAACGGTACTTGTCACTTCAATATTATATATTCACATCATCAATACCATTCACTGAGTGGCATATAGCTCACGTAGCGACACAAAACAATCTGGATTGTGAATATCAATTTTACACCTACTACTGCCTCCCCTCCAATCGTTCACGTGCAGCTTACTCATGAATCCCTTTATTTCTAAAACCATATTTACAGACTTGACTATTTATAAGTACTTATAATTATTCGAGGTAGAAAAATGTGTTAAGCCGAAAAAAATGTGTTAAACGTCATGTGTGCAAGCCCATTTTTTTAACCAGAGAAAGATTCAATACAATACCTTTTGGTAAAAAAATGGGCTAAAGGGGGTGCTAGCCCCTTTTTTTACCAGAGAAAGATTCAATGTATTACCTTTCGGTAAAAAAATGGGCTAAAGGGGGTGCTAGCCCATTTTTTTTACCAGAGAAAGATTCAATGGAATACCGTTTGGTAAAAAAATGGGCTAAAGGAGGTGCTAGCCCATTTTCTTACCAGAGAAAGATTCAATGTATTACATTTCGGTAAAAAAAATGGACTAAAGGGGGTGCTAGCCTATTTTTTTACCAGATCTGCAGAGAAAGATTCAATTACTTTTTGGTTTAAAAAAATTGGCTAAATTGGGTGGTAGCCCTTTTTTTACTAGAAGGAAAATTGATGATAGACTTGATAATTTCATAATCTGTTTAAAAATGCGTCATTGTTTGTATGCAACCTTTAGCCCATTTCAATGCGCAGTTAGCACGCTTTTCAAAGACAATTTCTTTTTGGTAGTAAATAAATGGGATAAATAACCAAAGCTATGTTTACAGCTATGTTCTGCCGACATAGTTACCTTTGTTTGGGGTAGGCCCTTTAAAAAACCACCTAGGTTTCTGGCCCCGCATATTCTCTTATTGTTATTGTTTGATTATGTAACTTTTTTTGTACTTGCAAATAATAAATAAACAATAAACAGCTCGCCCTGGCGGAGTCGGTGGCTATTCTTGGCATGACAAACGTGGGCATACTGCTGGGAAAGTTTCTCAGTCAGGACGGCCGATGGGACTCGTTCGACAGCATAGAGCAAATCTTTCCACTAGGGAAAGTGCCGAAGGTGAGAGAAACTTCCAGACATCCGACTGGATTCGGCTGACGTTCGGTAACAGTCTGACCAGATTTAGACCATGCCTACCTTTCTAGAAGAATCGAATCGACTTTGAGTCAAAGTTGATCCTTGAACACTGCTGACTTACTCCTGAATGGTTGGCTGATGTTCTGGTGACGTACAGCCGAACACCAGCCAACCATAGTCGATCCTCCATGTTTATGTATTTTTTATGTTTGTCATGAAAGTTCATCTGTGTTGGGAGTAATAATAGTAAAACATTGAACTTTATTCCAACACATAAGTTACAGAGCGATCCAATTTTCGACGACCGCTGTCGCCTTCATCGGGATAATTAATGACTAATCACTTCACGACGTGATCTCGCGAGAGTTACGGTTTACAAACACGTGACCTTATTCACACGAGACTTTGTAAACCGTAACTCTCGCGAGATCACGTCGTGAAGTGATTGGTCATTAATTATCCTGATGAAGACGACAGCGGTCGTCGAAAATTTGGAAAATTCGCCGAACACCAGCTACTTTGCGCCGATCTACTCCGAATTATGGTCGGAAGGCGTTCGGCTAGTGCTCTGGATACCCAGTTCTTAAATGTGTGACAGAGACTTTACCTAGTGAGAACGAAAGACAGTTACTGGACCTTAATGCATGAGAGGATGATGTCTACATGTATTACTGTTCCATTCCATTGCTATTAATTTGGTGTATCCTTGTTACCTGCAATGTCGTTTCCATCTTTGTGACATTCTGGGCATATACATTCATTACTGCTTGCTGTTCAACTTAGGGGAAAGCTCATTGGAGGACCGACGAGAATTTCGGTTGGCAGCGCCTGGCAGGAGTCAACCCTACATCCATCCGTCTGTGCACGGAGATCCCAAAGGGGTAAGTTGCACTGGGACGGAAATTTGATATCGATGATAGTCGTCTCATTGACATTGAATATTACATTGAAATACGTTGAGAGAAAGCTTCTATGGCAGGTGAATAAAGTTCTTGGCATACAACAAAGAGATGTGTACCATCGTTTTGGCACTTCATCCTCTATGACTGACTTCCCTACTTCTAATTACTAGGAAGAGCTGTAGTGGCGAGGTCCTAAATGTACATTTTAGTGGGAAGTACAATCATGAGGAATGTAAACGTAAGATGTAAAAGGATTGCAAAAACGTTAGCAGGTTTAACATCTCATTGTGTGCAAAGAACGTTGTTAGCCATTGAATCATAAACCTACAAACTCACTTTTTTTTCCTCATCAGGTTTGGAGTGACGGCTGAAATAGTTGAGCCTTTCCTGCAAGGTCTGAAGCTGGAAGATGCCATCCAGAAGAAGCGGCTGTACTACGTGGATCATACCATCATGGCGGCCACCTCCATGGCCAACACCACGAAGGCCAGGCCAGTGAGTACTCGATTGTTAGTTTTGTTGGATGGATTTCTATTCTCGTGCTCTATTTTTGGCTCTCCTCAAACATAGGACTTAATGTGCCATCTGAAAGTGTATCCCTGACCAAAGGGAGATTCTCAAGTGGAGTTGAGAAATTTCTGTCCTTCAAAACTTGTTATTGTTCCACCAATCATTTATGTAGTCCTCACGAATGCCAGCTTTACACCTGCAGTTGTTGACTGAATTCTGACATGTTTCTGATATAGATGTGCGCTCCATTCGGCCTGTTCTTCGTCAATGACAAGAAGGACCTCGTACCGGTGGCCATCCAACTGTACCCAAACGAAGGGGGACAACAACACCCGGTACGTGTTTGTGTTATTTTTCTTTAATAATAGTTCTTTATTGCAAATTCATGCCCGAGGGCTAATTTACCACAATTACCACAATTACCACAGAATGTTTTGAAGAATGGTATAAAACACTGTGCTAACATTAAGTTCTACTTCTACTAATTTAAGGTCCTATGTCTACTTGATACTAAGAACATACTATATATTCGTGACAGAGAGAGGACTTCAATTAACTTCGACAAGAACGGTATTACCGTTATGCCTTTAGTGATGTTGTTTGTGGTTGTGTATATTTCGGTAGCAATGTATGTTTAATGCTTGACAGCATAACACAAGAAAGTATTTATGGTTTGCTGTACTAGTAGTAATTTAATTTAACTAAGGCTTAGACCTTTAGTGCGAACCACTCCCCTTGTTGGCCATTGACCCTATGTTTTGCCGGATTCCACTATCCTAACCCTCTAAGGAAGGCCTAGCTAGGGTACCCCTCGCGGAGTCCCACTGGGCCACATACAAACAGCCAATAAGCTAACCTGTTAGGTATAGGTTTGGAAATGTTGACTGTTGAGTTACACCATTACCCATTTGCAGGTGTTCCTGCCGAATGACCCACCTAACATGTGGCGAATGGCCAAGATGTGGTTCAACTGCGCAGATGCGAACTACCATGAGGCCGTGCCTCATCTTGGTACGTTTTATTACTTGACGCAATATCGCTGTATGTAATAACATACGCGTACAAACTTTATTGCATATGAATTTTCCAAGGTACAACGTATGGCATATAGCAAAAGTACTAGGAAACTAGTTTACCTTGCAAAAGACGATTTAGTATTGAATGAGGGTTATTAATTTACAATCTTTGGTGGAATTTGTGACCTTGAGGCTTTCATTGCCCTACATGCACAAAGCATGGTTTGCCATGTGTCAGTATGTTCTTTAATTCGCTATTCCATTCCGTTGAGAGAGATCTTGGTAAATAAGATGATAGTATTTATGTAGTAGTTCTACTACTAAAGAAATCGGCTACGAGCTAGAAAAAGGATTCTATTTACGTATTTTTGACGGCCCATATTACAACAGGTATATGTACTTGTGTACTTGCATTTATGACTGATCCTTGTTGTTCTCTGAGCTGGTACGGAATGTTTACGTAGTGATCGCTTCTATGTTTCTTCCTTTCCAGGTTTCACGCATCTTCTTGTTGAGGCCTGCAACCTGGCGGCCAAGCAAAACCTGTCCATCTCACACCCGATGCACCGCGTCTTGGAGCCGCATTTCATCTACATGTTCGCCATCAACAAGTGAGTCCACATACTGTTTTCTTGCAATGCCTCATAGTAGAGAAACCAGAATATATACATACATTGTAGAACAAGTAACATGTTAAGTCGTGCACAAGGAGGGATACGGACCCACCACATACCTTGCATGTCGAGATGGCTGTCTGCAAGCAATACATTTAATCCTTGCATGTCCTGCTGGACTTTTTTACACAATATTTTCAAGTACACTGTATTTGAAGTCGTAATCAGGTCACAGACCCGTGACTTTTTTCTGCCCTGCAGTGGCATAGTTACCTCCGCATTCGTTGCGTTTCGATGCGCTGTGATGCGTTGCACGAGAAACGCCCCCAAATGGTACATACATGTACACAGGGCGCTATATAGATGGTACTGTATGTCCAAAGCAAGGCATATATATGTATGGTTCCCGCAGGAATATGCTTGCATACTGCTTGTGCATCATAAGGGCCAAAATGCATCATATTCCTTTTTGCTCTTATCTTATGCCAGTGTGTTGTAATGAAAACAGTGGTATATTATTATCAGTATCTTGACCTGTACCTAGCCCGTCGTGGCATGAATGTACAATAAAGGTATTGACATTAACATTAACATTATTGGTGGATTAGTGTTTGTTTTGTTATTAATGTCTATTGGACTTGAAGATGTTGTCATCCCGGATTGTCTTTACAAGTCGTAGATCAGAAACGTCGTATTTACCTTGGCCGAGGTTCAGGCAAACAATTTTCCGTTTTGTACTTCCCATAGTCTGGCCCTGGGTACGTTGATGGCCAAGGGTGGCGGTTTGGATCAAACTACCCAGATCGGAGCACAGGGAAGCTTTGAGCTCATCAGGAGAAGGTGAGGCAATATATCTATTTGATAACACACTGATTTTCTTATTCTAATTTTATGAGTAGACATGGTGACCACACACTCATTTTTTTAACTTATCTTATGCCGCCACCAACGCAGAGGACAAATAAAGGACAGGACAATACTCATTTTCACCAGAGCGAAGTGAGAAAAGTCGTGTAAAGTGCCTTTCCCAAGGACACAAGATCGGTGATATGTCAGGACTCGAACCCAGGACCGTTTGGTATGGAGTCGAGCACTCTGCCATTACGCCACACAACCACGCACTGATTAAATTTTATGGATTTATTTTCGCCTGTTCTAAAAAAATCGCCTCCGAGGAGGCTCAAGCCTGAGTGCCATCCCCAGTAGTCTGAAGTGGATGGCACCCAGGATGCCCACGCTCCACGCAACTAAAAAAAACTCAATACGTATACGGTGCAGATTATAATTACCACAAAAGGTCAGCATGTGTCGTCAAAGTAGTTATGTACTATTGAAATTCGCATTACCAGCTGTGGTTCAGCAGTTTTTATTTTTGGCTTGATGTTTTATTCGCCCCCTCTAAAGTAGTTTTGGGGTCTTCTGTGGATGTCATCCATTAAATTAAGTCAATGTGGCCAAAATAATGATAATTGTTAATTAATGTTACGGCTAATTATTGTTAACGTTTGCCAGTTTCTTTGTTTTCTTTCTACTGAAATAGGGTGAAAACTTGGCGTCTCGATACTGATGGTACTCTGCCAAAGGACCTCAAAAACCGTGGCGTAAGTATTATCTTTATACTCTTAAGATGTTTAACGACTGTCCAGTATTATGTATTTCTTATCTTTGGTACATTCTACTGTATGTGTATGTGTGCATGTATGAAGAGCAGCAGTTACAAAGCTTTATATTAGTTACGTCGATGAAGGTTAGACATCCAGGTAATACGATACGCCAAAAAGCAGTTACTCAAGCAACTGGATATGATTTTTGAAACGGTCAGACGTTTCGGCTAGTATCCAATAGCTTTCGTCAGTGACTGAGAGACCAGGGTAGAATTGCAGGTTTATAAGCACAAACTATTGATTGATATGCAAATAAAGTGAAGACATTTTTTTAAGTCGAAAAGGGAACAAAAGACAGACAAGTCAAGACAAGATAATGCAAATTAGTCAGAAAGCTCCTGTTATGCAGAGCACTTAAAAGTGTTGTTTTTATGTTAGTTATTTGTTGCGATGGAAGGCCGTTCATCTTGGTAAGGTGCAGTTAAGGTTTTTTTAAACCGAGTAGCTTTGTCCCGCGGCCCGCCAAGTTCACGTATTTTATGACGAAAACGTGCATATGGAACACATTTGTGACTCTAGTGATGATAACAGAGATACCCTGGTATCATGGAACGTTTATTGAATGTTCCTGCACGAAGGATAACTGCAAATAACTAGAAAGGTTTACATTTATGAAAAACAATGACAATGAGACAGATGGGCCTACTGTAATGTTCTGTTAAGGTTCTAAAACTAAAATTGTTGCGTTTGTTGCTTTCTAGAATGCAATATTCTGTAACGCGAGTTTTTTTTCGTCGTCGGTAAACATGGAGAAATTAGAACCTATGATGTTGGCTTCTTTTGTGTATTTGTATCAATTTTGTTTTTATGCTAGGTTGACAACGCAGACGATCTGCCCAACTACTACTATCGCGACGATGCTCTTCCCATCTATGAGGTTATCAAGAACCATGTCACTAAAGTTGTGGGACACTTCTATAGTCCCGATGGTAAGCTGTCATAATTGTATCATTGCATGAGAAAACCCGGCAGAGATTTTCATTATGATACTTGCAAATAATTTTAAATATATTGAATGCTAAGGTACGTTGACGTATACAGTTTTGTGTTCCAGGGCTAATTCGTTCCCTTAAATACTGAACAGCTCCATTGCGATAATCTAATAAATGTATGCACACAGATAAACAAATTCCGGTTTATTGGTTCTGATAACCCCTGGTACATCCTCTTTCAATATTTCATCTTGTATCTATAATCTAATTATCTAATACTCATTTAGGGAAAGGAAACTCTACCAAACTGAACGAGGATAGCGAGATTCAGAATTTCGCAAAAGCTCTTGTTGACAGTGGAATCCAGGTACTTCATTGAATAATCGTTGTAAATGGTGATAATCTGATCTCACTTTAATGTCTATGTCAACTTAAACTAATGTTCTAACATAAGAAACATGGCACCAAATTATAGACTTTTAACAACAAATAATATCCAAATAGATATCATATCCCTTCGTCTATGGATGATGATGTGCAACTAGTAAAGAGTTGGAAATGAACTTGATCTATAGATATATGTATTATATATTCATATATGTGAAGTTTCAGCCTCCAATGCAATATTTTAATTAAAAAGTTTATTGCAAATTCGTGCCCGGAAGTTAATTGCAAATTACAAAACATAAAAGAACAACGACATAGAGTATGAAATAACTAAAGTCTACATGACAAAGGTAGCTATGACGTGAATTGCCTGCGTAGCATATCGTAGCATATATTCCTGCCATATCCAATTTCTGCATACTTCATTCCAAAAGCAAGACCAAATCACCCATATATGGTTTTACATATATGGTAACACAAACACCGTTATAGATAATATTCTGTAGTTACAACAGTTACTGTGCATGTCTTGATTCTACACATTGTACCACGATTATCGAGCAATAAAATCCAATCATTCATGCATATTCACTCATTTATCTTTCATATCTTACACACAGGGGGTTCCTGGGAACGGTACATTGTCCAACGTGAATCAGCTGATCCAGATCCTGACCTCCATCATCTTCACCGCCAGTGTGCAGCACGCAGCCGTCAACTTCATGCAGTGGGACCAGTACGCCTTCGTACCCAACATGCCGCTCGTGCTGGAGGGAGAACCTCCGAGGACTAAGGTTTAGCTATCTTTATATTGTATATAGAGAGAGCATTAAGCTGTTCTCCAACAGCATATCTGGATATGTACTGAAGAGCTGTGCTAAGGTTCTCGCACCGTTTTTAACAACGTTATTCAATAAGTCAATCTTACTTGGTCAGGTCCCTAGTGAGTGGAAGGAAACCAATGTGTCACCTGCCCCCCAAAAAGGGCGATAAGGAGAATGTTGCTAACTAGAGACCAGTGTTTCTATTATCTCTTGTAAGCAAGGTTATGGAACGTTGTCTTTACAATGCTGTATTTCCTTTATTGCGTGGGACCATTCACGGTGTTCAACGTGGGTTTACACCCGGCCGTTCCAACACTCAGCTTATGGAAACATACCACAATGTAGGGTCCATACTAGACAGAGGGGCAAGTAGACATGTTATTTCTCGACTTTGCCAAAGCATTTGATTCTGTTTCTCATACCCTTTTGACCCACAAGCTACAAACATTTGGCTTTGGCAGGAATCTTCTTGCTTGGTTTAATTCATACCTTACTAACCGTCGTCACCGTGTGGTGGTGGAGGGTTGCCAATGGATGATTATGGATAAAGCATGGTCTTGGATAGAACAAAGACTAACAATTAATTGCAACTCTCCTGTTTTTAGGACATGCTGACGGAAGAAGACGTCCTGAACGCACTGCCTGGGAAGTTTCAAACTGTGATGATCAATTTGCTGACAGGAGTCCTGAGCGAGCGCGCAACGCAGCCTCTCGGGCAATTTGAGGTCAAGTACTTCCAGGGGCAAAAGGCGGAAAGAGTCATTGATACGTAAGTGTAACTGTTGTCCTTGCCTTAAGCTTGTTAATTCTCTATAATTAGAACAGAAATATGCACAATTAAAGGCATCCAATGCAATTTGAGGACGACAAAACTGCAATTTAGATTCGATGTCTGGTCATTATCTTAATGTAGTAAGTTGAATCAACACAGTATAGTATTCCATAGATTTGATTTGATTTATTAAACTGCATAAACAGATATACAGCCAGGACTGCCCACCTAGCAGGAGGCTATTATAAAGGACTTGCCCTCATAACAGGATACAACAGTAAACAATCAGGAACAGTTAACGATGTCGGGTACAATTCGGATTCATTAACATATCATTAGATAAAGGATGAGTCATTCTAAGTATCTGAGACAAAAAATATGATGTAGCTGACGGAAAATTGTTGCTTGTTTTGTATCGTAGATTGATTCTAGCAATTTATGGTTGGTACCAAAAAATATAGGGACTCCTCACACGGCTTGTTATTGGGCTGATTCAATCTCATAAAGTATGGAATAATGACGGAATGTGCTAATTGTGAGAAATGGTAGTAAATGTCAATATCAGACAGATTTCCTCGTCCAGAATATTTTGTTTTGTCGTCATGCAATTGCATTGCTTGCCGCCTTTCACAAAGGATGAATTGTTCAAGCATATAATGACATCTAGCTATTAAAGTACGATATATCTGAAAAAGAGGCCTTGTAGATATAGACGGAATATATTATACTAGTATTTATTTCTCTTACCCTTATACCAAAGGTATCTAACTTAGTGCATTTGGCCCGTGTAGGGCGTGGAAGCATCTAACTTCATTGTCGTCGCCATTGGTTAAACCCGTTCAAATAGCCACTGTGATTATTGTTTGCCATATGTTTGATATTCTGGCACACCATCACAATCAAGTGACATTGGAAAGTGCCATAAAGTCTTAATGAAATTAACAAAATTAAAAAAATGCTCTGTATAATTTTAGAATTCGTTTTTTTTTTCGCCTGAATAGCTTCAACCAAGACCTGGTCAAAATCGCACTGGATATCGAGCACAAGAACTCTACTGAGCGTTCGCAGCCGTATGACTACCTGGATCCGCGAGAGATTCCCAACGCCATCAGCATCTAACTGGAGATTCCCAACGCCATCGGCATCTAACTTGAGATTCCCAACGCCATCAGCATCTACCTGGAGATTCCCAACGCCTTCAGCATCTAACTGGAGATTCCCAACGCCATCAGCATCTAACTGGAGATTCCCAACGCCATCAGCATCTAACTGCTCAGTTCGCACCAGCAGTTTTCTGTAAGGTGCAAAACACGTGAAATTCGAATACTGTTTTCTTGAATTAAAACTGAAACCGTTGATACATACATATATTTCTTGTTGGTAGTTTTCTAATACATAAGATACATAACCACATGTATGTATGTATTTATTAGAAGCTTAATATGCCCTTTGAAGGATAAGTATAACTATCCTATGCATGCATATGTAGAGCTCGGTCATAATGAAAGTTTGTAACATCAACCTAACGTTTGAAATCACGGCGGTCAATTTCTAGGGTAAAGTTTCCAATTCTACGGAGGGTATCAGGTTACCGGGGTTCCACGCGCGGCGTCCGTGGAGCCGGTCTCAGCGGTAAACATTCTTTTCATCAATAATAAACAGTTTCACGGGGACTCTCTTGTCCAAATGTAATAAAATCAGCACTGCGTATAGCTCAAATGTTGGTGTTTTTATTACAATGCTTAAATGTGCGTGAAATCACTCTCAACGCGTCGAATGCTTATTCTAGAACAATCGACGTCAATAACCAAACAACTGATTTAAACCGACCCCAAATCTCTCCGAAAATTCCACATTTTTGCATTTTAGAGAACAGTATAACAAAATTAAGATTTGAGTCGGACAGTTTTCTTTATTTCAAAGTTAAAGTGTTGCTAATTAAGGTAGAAAAAGTCGCCAAAAAATGCACTTTTTCAACTTCCAAGACGGATAATTCCAGAACGCCGCCATCTTTAAAAAATCCGTCCGACACAGATCGAGATTTTTGTCTTACCTACAATTTAAAATGTTTTTGAGGTAAATTGAATTTGTTTTTCTTGTGGTTTAAATACCCTGTTTGCATGCATGTCAGGTCGTGTGAGGGGGTGCAGGGGGTAACTTATATCCCCGTAAACAACAATTACGATCTTCAAGGTCGCACACGATGACGGCAGTAGCTTTGTTACATGTTACATATCCACTATAAAACAGGTCATAGATATACTGTCCCGAAATTGGTTTATATTTGTGAAAAGGTGGATTTTTTACTGTTAGGCGGTAGCCGTGTAAAAACGGGCTTGAAGTCGCGAGTTTACTGTACATGACCGCGGGTAACCCCGGATCGAACGAACGTTCGGTTCGATTGACGTCATATCGAACATGATTCGATTCGAATGACGTCATATCGAACATGATTCTGTTCGATGAAAAGGTTGGAATATTTGGGCCCAAATTTGACCATCGTGAATGTTTAAAATAATACATAATCTTTTCATCTATATGGTGGAAGTATATGTGGACTCAAGATTAGGTGAAGATACTTGCAAATTTGCACTAACAAACAATAGGTACAGCGGGGATGTAGATAGAAATTAACCCTATTTAGAAGGGAATGGGTAGCTTTTGAGTCTCGTGGCATCTTTCACGTCAGAGAACGTCGTGAAATAGAATAGAAACGGGTGTTTATCATGGGATGCAACTAGCAACAATCTGCGAAGCAGAAGAATCTTTAGTTGTAATGTTAAGAACATTTACGCCATAATAAGCCCTTGTAAAGGACAGGTATGATTTGATTGCTTGAATGCAAATAGAAACAGCCTGCCTGACTAATCTTTAGTTATGATGTTACGAATATTAACGTAATAATATGTCTGCTAAAAGACAGAAATAGTAGCCTTAAATGCAAATAGAAACGGGTGTTTAACGATAAAGATGAAACACTGACATTATCGGGAAAACTTGGGGTGAATATATCAATCAATTGGAACGGAAAGTGTAGTTCCACATTCACATTCAACAGAATGTGTAGTTTCGTCTTTGTACGGAGGTATTGTTTTGAGTGGCTTAGTTGTTCGGATTTGTGTGCATAGTAGGTTGACAGCGCGTGGAAGATAGATAGCCAGAATAACAGCAGATCAAAATGCCAGACAAAGAAAATGTGGCGAACTAGAAGGTAACAACCCGAAATATATAATAATACCAGGAAGTCTGAAATAAGCAATTTCTTGTAAGGACATCTTTAATTGGTGTACGAATGATGAGTATACGATACTGTAGCAATGACAACTCTTGTATGCTGTTTCTTTGGTGTGGAATAAATTTGTGCCTGGCGTTACGGTGTCTTTCTTTTAGTTGCTAGGCTACGATTAGTAAGTAAGTAAAAAAAATATACACCTTCTTCTGCATAAGGACATTGTCCGTCTCTGTTTTAAAAGCCTCAGTCTGTGACACTACAGCATAGGGCTAGTCCACTATAGCTAGTAACACGGGGTGGTTAACTTACTAAATTTCTTTATCATTGATTTACCTCAACATACAATTTGTGCTGCTCGCCCAAAACGTGCAATTTAAAAAAAAAAGACTTCAGTTATCGGGCTTAGACAAAATTTAAATGTATTATGATGGAGCTTTATTTATGACATTTCTTCCATTCATTTCCAGTTTACCTGTGTATGTATCACTGCCATACATTGTAGAGTGTCTTAGAATCAACACTACATTGAGACAGACGGGTCAGATCTCATAATGGTTGTGCCAGAAAGTAAACGCCATCTTGGAAAAACACAGCCTACGTGACACGTAACAAAGAAACCATTATTATTCATCCTCATAAATGTTGATCAGATTCGGACACACCCACGTTGTAAATTTGAACAACCTAAGGTTGTTTGTCACACATATGATCAGCTGCTGAGACTTGCACACACATCAACAACAACAACAGGGGATCGAATCTCCTACACGACGTGTAGCGGCTACTGAACATACTTTGGCCAGCTTATAAGGTTGGTTTAGATTTGATATATTTGAATGTAGCTACATGTACTTAGGTTTTACAGAAGTAGTAGTAGTAGTAGACTGGTTGATCCATACATTCAGATATACATTATATAGGTGGAAAGTCTTGGCTGTCTTAAATTGTATACTTATTACAAAGTAAAAACTTTAAGAATTTTCAGTCTATCGACTCGAATACAATATGTATAATACAATTAACGGTACGTTAAACTGTGATCGTCCAGTATACGATCTGGTGTAACATTCAAGATCCAAAAACGTATAGGCTTTCATCATCTTCGTCCTAAGTAAATAAGTATCAGAGCTAAAAAAATAACATTGGAATGAAAATAAACCATTTCTGTGTTGACGTAAATATGTTGACTAGCTCTAGAGAAACATTATTTTAAGTCTTGACTCAGGGAAGAAGTAATGACGTTTTGGGACTCACCTGAATCTCGGTAACCTTGCGCTTTCTTGAATATGTGCTGTTTCAACATTTTAAAGAGAGGTTTAAAAGAAATATAGCAAATTTAGGCCTGTTCATTATGTAACGTTAAGCAGAAAGTGAAGCTAGATGTATGATATATAGATACCTGAGGTGAGATAAGATAAAACCTTTAAATGTGGCACAGCCAGCTGAAGCAGTTAGAACTCCTTCCCACTGGTGTAAAATAGTACTTGAGGGACAAAACAAAACGTAAAAAACACTTTTAAATCGATGAATTTCATATTTATTTGATTTCTTATACCTAAATGCTCACAGTTACACGAAAGGTAACAGTCAACCAACAGGTAGTCAATGCTCTTTAATTTCAGCAGCCGTAGACAAATTTGACTAAGTACTACACTACGTACACAATGTCTTGCAAAACATTCAATCAAACGATATTTTAAATGCACTTATTGTACAGTGTACACACACACTGCCTTGTGTCAAAATTTGCTTGCAACAGAACGAGTTAGTCTTTCTGGCTTTTCCTGGAAAAGTATAAAACATCCTTCGTGAGGCGTAACAAGTAAACCATTATTATTATTCATCATGAATGATGATATTCAGATAGCCAGCTTCAGACAATCAACACGCCCACGCAGTAAATTTGAATAATCTAAGGTTGTTTGTCCCACTCCATTACAAATCAGCTTCTGTGAGCAACGTATCCTGCACACACAGCAGAAAGCGGCTGCCGAAAACTGTTTGAAAGGTAAGTTTGAATGTACTTGAATACTTAGCTAAATGACAGTCTCTATTGTCAAAAGCAGAGGTACAAAATACCATTAAAATTAAAATGAACCAGGTCGGCCCCACTGCTCTAGGGTTGTTATCACACACCATTACAAATCAGCTTCTAAGAGCACTGTATTCTATTCCTGCTCACACAACAGAAGGCGGCTGCTAAAAACTGGTTGACCAGCTCAGTTTCAAAAGTAAGTTTGAATGTACTTGAATACTAGCTGACAATCTGCTTTGGCAAAAGAAGATGTACAAAATACCATTGAAATTAAAATGAACCAGGTCTGTCCAAATGCTGTACATATGAGGACTAGAGAAATACGTTTTTGAAAGCATGTTTTCAGTTATAAAGAGGTGGTGGTAACGTTTTGCTCATCTGGAACAAATAGATTGCTTGAATGCGTTTAACGTTCAAAAGAAATACGACAATTTGGTGTTTATAATCTAACGTTACGCAAATATTAAAGTTAGTTGACCGAGACCGTTGAGCGAACATAACTGGATTTGCATGACATATGCTATGTGTTGGTGGAGATCCCAACCTCGAGCACGCTAAAGAACCCACCACAGTTATCGAAAAGATTGTGGGTCCTTCTCGGTGTGAGTGGGTCAAACCATTTCGGCCTAAATGGGGTAGGAAATATTCCGGACAGCCTCTGTAACCTCTACTTCTCCCAGTGGTTCAACGTAGTTTTAATGCACTTAAAGTTGTGTGTAAAAATCATTTTTGTAGTGTCTGAAATCAGCAGATCCATGCCATAGAACGAGTTAGTTCTTATACTTTATCATACTTGGTTATGCCATGGAAAGTATATACTGTCTTTAAGAAGAAACATAATGTGGGGTTGTGTGGCGCAGCGGCAGCGTGCTCGACTCGGAACCAAGATGTCCCGGGTTCGAGTCCCGACATGCCACCGATCTTGCGTCCTTGGGAAAGGCAAAAAAGAAACAGTCTACGTTGCACTTAACGAATAAACCATTTTCATTATTCATCATCATAAATGTTGATATTCAGATAGCCAGCTTCAGACAATCAACGCGCCCACGTTTTAAATTTGAATAATCCAAGGTTGTTTGTCACACTCCTTTTCAATTTAAGCTACTTTTTGTCGTCAGCAGGAAATAAACCAAGATGAAGACTAGAGAAATATCATCGGAATGATTATAAATTCATAATACTGTATGTAAAAACGTGCATTGCGGCTTCAACAGACGTAAATTCTAATACTTTCCAAAACGTTTTAGGGTCATAAACTGCCGACAACTTAAGAATATTACGCCTTCTCTCTAGGTACGAGGTGATTGGACAACATGGGGAAATGCCTACATCACGTGCTTCTGATTTTTCTTCTCGTCATCATGAAGGAGACTGCCATGCCAGAATCCAGCTGCAGCTGTTCATCGTCCTCGTCCTGCAGATGCAGCAACCTGGGCCTCTCCAGCATTCCTCAGAACCTACCACCGTCAATCACTTCCTTGGATTTGAGACATAATCAGATTAAAACATTAAGGCAGTCAGAACTGCTAAGGTACAGGAACTTGGTAGAGTTGGATTTTGAGAAAAATAGAATTGGCATTGTAAACTGTTTACCAAATCTACCCCGGCTGGAAACTTTGCACCTGCAGCACAACATGATAACTAACATTCGGTATGGCGCGTTCGCAAATCTTCCCCGGCTACGACTATTGAACCTATACCACAACCAAATCACTAACATTCAGCTTGGCATATTTTCAAATCTGCCTCGACTCAAGGTTTTGAAACTTGAGTCAAACCCGATTCAAACTATTCATCCTGATGCATTCTCATACCTAGCCAGATTAGATTTTTTGCTCCTGTCCAAAAACAAAATAACGGCTGTTCAGCCTGGTACATTCTCGGATTTGCCTGACCTCCATACCCTGCAACTAAGAAGCACCAAGATAATTGATATTCCTCCTGGTACAATATCAGGTGTACCCCAGCTAAAATATTTGTACCTCAACAACAACCAGATCACTAAGATTCAATCTGGTACATATTTAAATCTACCCAGGCTTGAAGTGTTGCGCTTGAACTCCAACAATATTACAAAAATTATGTCAGGTGCATTCCGAAATCTACCCAAATTGAGATTCTTGCAACTTACATACAACCAATTAACTGCAATTCAGTCCGATTTATTCTCAAATCTACCATCGCTCAAAGTATTGTACCTGAGCTCAAACCAGTTGACTGTCCTTCCCCCGTCATCTTATTTCACATTTTCATCAATATCTAGAATAGGACTTAGCAATAACCCCTGGAAATGCGACTGTAGCATGGTTCACTTCAGACTAAAAATGACTGGCTCTGCTTCATTTGAAAATCAGATAGTATGTGCCAAGCCTTTCGACTTTTCTGGATATAAGCTTAAAGATATCAATCCTATAGACCTGATATGTGATGGTACAACCACAGCCTCATTCACTACAGTACCTACGTTGTCTAATGAGGCAACCACAGTCTCATTCACTACAGTACCTACGTTGTCTAATGAGGCAACCACAGTCTCATTCACTACAGTACCTACGTTGTCTAATGAGGCAACAACAGTCTCATTCACCACACTACCTACATCAACGTCATCTTTATTTGACAATACTTCAATATTGCGTCAGATAGGGCCCGTTTTCGATTGCCAATTTACATTGTCTGCAGACTCAACGTCCTCCTTGTTTGTCTTCACAAAAGGCAATCATGAACCAGAAACAATACCTGCTGGTTCCACAGTTTCTCCTTTGTCCACTGAATCTAAGTCAAAAACATCGGAAAGCAATTTTTCCTATGAACCAGATCCTAGCTTCTCCCTATCCCTATATATTGTCATTGGCACTGGCTCAGTAGCTGCCATCGTTGCCTTTATTATTACAATGTGGTGGAAGAGGAGAACCAATACCCCTTGTTCAGACCCAAATCCCAACACAAACACAGAGGTTACTGTTGATTCCGGAGCTCATTATCAAACAGAGCAGCGTCAACAGTTTCTTCAGCAAAAAGTTATGAAACCAACACCAAAGAATCTAACAGCTGAACGTCCAGGAGCAGCCAACAGTAACATGCGTTGCAAAGATCAAAATGTTGTTTTGAGCAATGAAAATGCCACAGGTACTGTAATGACTGTTGTTAATGATCAAACAGAACAGGATCATTCTTATGCTGTACCCACATCTTTGGATAATAATGAGGCAACCGAGGATGTTACAAACCTATCATATAACACGAAGTCGAGTGCTTCACAGCTGAAAGATACTTACGTAGATGTTGCACAAATGTCAGAGAACCTAGAGCGGCCAGGTGCATATAACACAAGGCCAAGTGCTTCACAGCTAAACGGTCTTTACGTAGATTCAGAACAAATTTCAGGAGACCCAAAACAAGGTACAAATCCAGGGCAATCTTCCGTAAGGAAGAACTCCCGGTCTCCAAAAGGAATCGATGGAAATGCATTATACATGACAAGGCCAGATGTGTCAAAGCCGAATTCCCTGTACGAAGATGTTAAACTACATCCGTGATTAAAGAAACGAAGACTTAGAATTTGCTGGTCCTAGAAAAACATAATAAAACGCATACATGGACCACCCTAGCTTGAAGAAGTAAACATAATGCTGCCCAAAATCTGCTACAGGTGAGGTAGTGGCATTGTTGGCCTAGATTGGAAGACAGTAGATTACCATTAAAACAAGTAGTTCCTCATATACTATTATGATGAAAATTGAAAAGCCACCCTAAAGACTGACCAATCCCTATGAAAGCTTAGTCATGCATGTCCCTTATTTTAATTATCAAATTACATCCCCCCCCTTCGTCTCTTTTTTCTCTCTTTCTCATATACACAATGTATACGAAGATCCATTAACCAAGATATGTCATAATTGTATATTTGTATTCACCTTTTTATTATAATTTATCTGTTCATATTACATGTACCTTATCATAATGTTACGGAGAGTATTACAGTATATCTGTAGAATTTAAAGTCACGTTATAAGTAAATAGTAAATAATAGTCTTTGTCAATATATGGACGTTGCAGAACCAATTCTGTTTTATAACAATGCTATGTATATATTTTACCATAACTATGGTCTTTTATTGTATTTCAATCATAGCATAGCTGTTAAAATTATATCCTCAGTCTTAATCTATTTGCATTTCTAATGATAATGTAAGTGGCATTGTCGCACTGTTAGATATTAGTGGTATGATGACGTCCATTTTTTTGTTTAGAAGAATGAATATGTGTATCTTGCCTGGTAACCGTAATTTTGAATTAGTCGTGTTAAGTTTGCAAGAAAAGACAGCATGAAGTACACTTAGAATACTTCAAGCAAATGTGGATGCGTTCTGATATATGACATCAACACACAATTGAATGTAATGGTTTTTAAATAGCATATCGTCTTCAGTGTCGTGCAGTTTACAATTAAGCTTACAGTTACATACCTTAAAAGATCTTCAGGAGTCCGATTTTGTGTTTCAATGTGCAGGTTATGGTCACTAATTTGTAGTTTTGACTCGGCTTTTTTCGGTATGCCTGTAGGGATTTTTCTTTAACTTTGATAATTTTTTATCTTGGTGCCTTGATTGTTTCCTCGACCGTTGGAGTGTATTTCTAAATGGGAGTTTTGTAGTCTTTGCTTTAATCCTAATGGCTAAGAAAATATAGTCAGAGCGTTGTTTTTCATGTTTTGGCTGTGGCTTGACTCATGGCGACCAAGCCAGCGCGAAAAAGCTAGTTATTATCATTATATAATATTATATAAGTAATTATATTACCATTATTATCATATAATAATAATATGATCATATGATAATAATAATACAATCATTATCATATAATAATCCAATCGTCATCATCATATAAGTAATCTGATACCCACAGCAATGGGCCTTACATACTGTTTCTCAGTAATTATATTGTATGATTGTCTCAACTTTCTGTAATGTACTGAAATCTTGAAGCAAAATAAAGACAGGTTTTGTTGAACGAATGTCGTTAGTTTTGTTGTATTCGTTGCCCTAAAATTGGTGGAAGTACAGTCATCTGCTGTAACGCTAGTTGACATGTTTTAGGCCATGTTGATTTGATTATATAGATGGCATCCACGCGCGCATGAATTTTAGGCCGTTTCCAAAGAAAAAAGTTTTCGACCACATTATTCGTCATACCACTCTGTGTCATTTGTTCAACCTTCATAACCATAATTCCATAATGAAAGCAACTTTTTTTGCCAAACCTTTTTTATTCGCACGCGCGCATGTCAGTTTTGGGGTTACCAGAGGATGTGATCCATATAATCAAATCAACATCGCCTTACCTACTGTACCTACATGTACGATCCTTTAACTTTTATTCACTATAACTTATGCCTAAAGCCACGTACATACAGAAAGGTTTAAAAAATCTAAAAGTATCCTATTTTGATCACTTCGGTTTGGTAGCAACCCGAAGTGATCAATGGGTTGATCAATTGATGGCTCATCCATTAAATAAATTAATGAACGTTTTCAGTTTTTAATTCCAAGAATAGAATTCCAAGTGTTTGCACCTTGCATAAACCTGCTGATGCAAACTGAGCAGTTAGATGCTGATGGCGTTGGGAATCTAGTTAGATGCTGATGGCGTTGGGAATCTCTAGTTAGATGCTGATGGCGTCGGGAGTCTCCAGTTAGAAAATGATGGCGTTGGGAATCTCCAGTTAGATGCTGATGGCGTTGGGAAGCTTCAGTTAGATCCTGATGGCGTTGGGAATCTCCAGTTAGATGCTGATGGCGTTAGGAAGCTCCAGTTAGATGCTGATGGCGTTGGGAGTCTCATGACTGTCCAGCTAGTCGTACGAATGAGAACGCTGAGTGGAGTTCTTGTGCACGATATCCAGTCTTGATCAAGTCTTGGTTGAATCTTTTCGGGCGAAATAAAATTACTTCTAAAATTTTTAGAATCATAATATTTCAAATGATCTGCCAATCAATATTACTTGATTTAGTGCCAATATACTTACAGTAATATGCATATGGCAAAAAGTGGCAGTGACCATGGATGTTAATGCATACATGCACTAGTAAACTATATTACGACTTTGTGTAGAAGATTTCTTTACTCGTTCTAAAACATACATAGACAAAATTAAAGATATATCGTAATTCCGTGCTAGATGACATTATATGCTTGAACAATTTATCTTTTGAATGTTAAAGGCAGGCAGTACGATTGCATGGCGGCAAAACAAAAAAAAATATTCTGGATTAGTAAATCTGTATGATGTTGACATTAATTGCCATTTCTTGTATTTTATGATAGTACATTTCGTCATTATCCCATCCCTTATTCGTTTCAAATAGCCCGATAACAAGTCATGTGAGGATAGGAACAAGCAATACAAAACAAGCAATCGTTTTCCGTCAGCAACATTTTTTCCTCACAGATACCTATGGGATAGGGTTTAGTCAACATACTAGATGAAATGAAGGGCCAGAAAATCGACCTTTCTAGTGGCTAAAGTTTAGCTGTCTGCTAAGCCTACTCTATTCGCTAGGCGGCACTGCGAATCGGACCCACTCCCACGAACACTGCACAAAATCCATTCTTTACACACACATTAAAACATACATAGATAGAAGAAGAAGAAGAACTTTATTGCGCAACAGATGTAGCGGGTACAACGTACGGCAAAATATACATACATAGTTTGTGGTATGCTTTAAGGTGTGCGGGGTCCGATAAAATAAACTTCCAGTTCGTAGTTCGTTTCTTGTACGATAGAGTCCCATGTGTTTTCTGTTGTATTGTAGGATTCCTTTTATGCATCATATAAACAGAACACGTCGTTTTAAAGAGTAGAGTAGATCTTTCGTCTCGGTAGGAAGTTCTCTTCCACTGTGAGCCGCTCCTTGTACTGCGTAGACATGGTCATCTTGTGGGGGTTGTCCAGTGCCCGGGGGCTGTACACTAGTACTACTGGGTGGCTTTTCATGTGTTTGTCCAGTCTATTTTCAAAACTGTTCACACTTGGGGCTGTGACCACCTCCTCGGGTAGACTATCCCCCACCATGTTACGACCCTGTTGCTGTAGAAGAAAGTTACCTTCCTAAACATCACGCGTACTAATCCGTGTCGTCCTTGGCTTCCTCTAGTTCCTCTTCCAGCTCCTCCAGCTCCTCCTCAAGTAGACCCAAGGCGGCATCTTCCTCCACTTCATTCGCCTTCTCCTCCATATCAGCTGCAGCCTCCTGGAGAGTAGCCACTACTTTTGGGTATTACATGTAGATTACGAAAAATAACCCCGTAATCCATGAACGGGTAAACCGGTGAAGTCACATTGCGTTCAGGCTTATCATGAAGTCAGAAAGCCTTGAAGCCGGTTTGGAACCGAATGGATCACAACGTGACTTCAGACGGGGCCACATGAGTCCTACTTCTGTGGATTCCGTCTTCAATGCGTTTTCGCGAGGTTAATGTGAAAAGAAGGTATGTCCCCTTACAAGTGGTGAGATCGTCCAACATGTTAAATACATGTCAATTCACAAATACGTCATGCAAAAGGTTGTGTGTACCGGTTGTTCCAGGTTTCGACCTCTACCTTTTCGCCCTGGGATAATCACACAAAGTTTTCATCTCTTTTTATAGTATTTGTACACGTATGGATAGAAGAGGAAAAAACCTGTCGCTTTGAAATTATTTATGTATGGTCTGTTAGTGTTTTATGATCGCTGAAGTGGTTGCAGATATATTTCGGGACGATAGACGATAGCGGTTTTTTGGGAAGTCACGTCTGTTACGTTTTTCTGAAAACGTGGGGAAGGAGTGGCGTCGACGCACGTCACTCGCACGGTTGCGCAAGGTGTAAGGGTGTGGTCTGCACGCCGCGTCTGGCCGTGAGCGGTTGCGTGCATCGTTCATTGCGCAAGTGGTGAGTTGTACGTGCTTACAACGTACGATTTCTGTGCGATTGCCAAGTTACCGTGTGGAGGCCGTACTCACACGTGCTGCTTACGCACGGTACGTACTGGCACGTACGGGGCACGGGCGTCGCCCGTACTGGCTCGTACGGGGGGGGGGGGGTGAATCCGCAGCCCGCACGAAAAGTTTTACATGCACTTAACGAGATACGGCGTGTCAGCGTGTTCCTAAATTTATTGGATTTCGTTCCGTGGCGGTACTCATAACTTACGGATCCGCAAAATTGGTCACGTTTTTGCTCGTAGACAGCACGAAATTGTACGCACGGCTTGTTGTGACCGAGGCTTAACCCTGTAATAATCCCTTAACAGGTGGGTCGTGTGGTGTGCTCGACTCGGAACCAATAGGTCCCGGGTTCGAGTCCTGACATGTCACCGATCTTGTGCCCTTGTGAAAAGCACTTTACACGACTTTCCTCACTCCACTCATCAGGTCGAAATGAGTATTGCATTGTCCCCTGTGTTTGTGGCGGCATTAATATAAGTTGAAAAAACCTTGAGTGTGCCGTCACCACGTCTTGTGATTATATGTTGGAATATTTTTAAAAATCACATAACAGTCAAACAGGATTTAGTCCAGACAGCGTTAGACGTCTCAGGTATGATTGTTGGCTAGACTCTAATTAAATTTTCACAAAAGGCTGACTTTCTTGCAAAGTCTGGATCGTACTGTCAGATGCCATAACAGTTGAGAGATCACAATCACTGCCGACTGCAAACAAACACTGCCGACTCCACACTCTTAACAACAGGCGAATTCTTTGCAGGGTATCATTATGTCTATACAAAAGACTGCGTGTTAACGTTGTTCCGTAGACGTAACCATGCGAAGTCTTTTGCCTGAAGCGCAAACTCTGTGGAATTTTATTTGTCGAGCAGTCAGAGAGCTTCAGACTGACTTGACTTGACTTGACTTGACCCAAGACTATGTATTTTCAACAAGATTTTAATCTGATAACTTGATATATAAGCGTATATTTGTACGTTTCTGAACACTTAACTGTGTATCACATTGTTGGTAGGTATAGCAGGGATTCCCCCCCCCCCCGAAACTCTTGCATACAGAGCGTCAATTTCTTGACGCTGTAGAACCCGATGACTGTCATCAATGCGACAATGGGGATATACAGAAGGATCCAGAGATGCGGTATCTAAACTGGATGCTGTACCTAAGATAGGAAAGAAGCAAATTTACGGGACTAGTATTTCACAGAGGTCTTCAAACTCTTGTTTGACAAGTTGCCAAAAAACTGGGTGTGTCTGGTACATATTACTGTCTGTGTCTTCGTCCACATTTTGGCAGGTTGTGAAAATATTAAGAGCAGACATAGTTTACTGGAGATATGCCTAGTCATAACTCAGATCACGGCAACACAGCGTAATATACTAGTACTTTTAAACGCTCTCGGTGTTCTTAGGCTTGAGCATTGTGGCTCGCTTTAGCCTAAGCACACCGGGTCACCCTACTTCTTGGGGTCGACAAGTGGGTTGGGCCCTTTTACGTGCAGTGATTTGACATGTCTGAACCCTTAACCTTCTCAGTTTATCACTCATGCGAGATGAGCCCTCTGGTCATGAATAGTCTGCAAGCCGCAGCGTGGTGCCTTTTTTCTAATTTACATAAGAAAGAAGCTTTCGTCAGAACCATTCGAAATATTTGAGTGTATCATGCCGCACCTTGTCGGATAGTCTCATCTTCAGGACTGCTTAATTATTCATAACGCTGATGTCATACCATTATTGCTAGGCAACTATGGACGTCGGTTGTAGGTGCGTCTTTGATCTTCCAATCAGCTTCAGGTTTACCCAGATAATTGAGGCATCTCCACAAGTTGAAAAAGTCTACCTTTGGCCGGGGCCCCGCACTCTCTGGGCGGCGGCAGCAGCAGGAGGGTCCACACCAGAATCACCGACACTTTGGGTACTACTCTCGACCCGCGTCAGCTTCGAATTCACAGTACTAGTCTGCATCTTGGTATCCACAACACAACTAAAGCAAAGACAGGTAAGACTGTATATAATGATATGAATCTTCATGCTGAATGAATTAAATCCTGTTGCCTTGTAGCTTCCATGATCACAAAATGTTTCAGATTTTATACTTAATATTGTTTCACTCACCGAAATACCCCAAAGATGGTGAGCTATATTGGCAAATGCTATCAATGTGCACATCGTCAAAACAAACAAACACTCCTACGATCATAGCAGACAAATGCACAAGTACCTTGTGCATTTGCTACTAGTACGTACGTACGGAAGGCGACGGGTTGGTCGCTAATGTGCCTGGGCGCACGTGCAACACTCCCAGCACCATCGGGGGGCGTATCGGGCGGCGTACTAGTATACTGGCTACCAATTGGTAATATGGGCATTAACGTCGCTTTTGAACGTGAGCAAATGTACTGAACGTGTAACCACTAGCACCGTTGACAAAGTGGTAAGGACAGCAACAATCGGACATTGAATTTTTTGCGCAAAATATCGCCGTCCAATGTGTTGTAGACTCGGCCCGGGCGGTTTTGGGTGGGTAAGTGACACGTGTCATAATACGCCGTGCGATCGTGAGACACACTCGGTCCATTCCTGGGCTAATCGTGTAGGTCACTAAAAATCATTCTTGTTACCGATGCAGTTCTTCAGGTGGTCCTGGATTATTGTCGGCAGCTTGTTGTGATCATGAGGGCTCATTTATCAAACCGGCTCGGTATTTTTGGGTCTTTTCAACTGGTTGGGCCCAAGCTATAAAATTTACCGGTAAACCGAGTAAAATTATCTGGCTGGAAGACGAGTAGAAAGGTGAAACAGATAAGACTACGTCACTAAAATGTTGTGTTGCTGCCTGGTCTTCTCGTAGCCAACAGGGGCTGCCGACCGAACTAACTATGGTGTCTAGCCCCCGAAGAAATTTGCTTGAAGATTATGGATTCGCTCCTTTGAAAACTGCTAACTACTTAGTATTCTGTACCAGTGTCTGAGAGGGCTCATGTTGTAAAGTGTGTCAATCAAATTAGTGGCTTCTCCAATAAGAGAGAGAGATCAGGACACGTGATTACATGAAGGCGGGGCTTCAGTGCCAGTAGGTTACCTAGCCGGTTTTTCCACTTCGGCAAACGAACAACTCTCAAAGGAGACACTTAATTATGGCTGCTAGATCAAGCGCCGTGTGCAATCAATGGCATACATACATGTAATACTCTTGTAAAGACATTGTGTTAACAACGTGCGATCAAGTTGCGAGAAAAAAAAACAAGTCCTGGTTTATCAATCACAAACATTTCCATCACTTTAGTCACTTTCCCAAGTCACTTATTAAACGTTTTAGTTAAAAAGGGAGCAGTTTTTTACAGTTAATGCTAGATCTCAATATTTCCCCACTTACCAAGGCTGGCCCTGTAGTTGGCAGCTACAACCTACGAAAGAAACTGCTGCGCTCCCTTCGAGTCTACTTGATGCAGTCGGCGTGACACTATATAATTAGTGCTACCCAGTTACGTTAGACAGCGCACAAATTAGCTGTGCAATCAAGCGTTGAAGTAAGGCTCAGTGCATACAAGACTTGCATAAGATTACATTGAACAAATGACTCGTTGCATGTCATATAAGAACAAAGAGCAGAGGTAAGAGAAAATGAAGACTTCCAAACATGTTTTCTACAAGTCCAACCCACGCTAACGTCAAGCTAATGGAAATAATAGTCTTAAACTCTGTCACTTCGGTGATCTTAAGCTTAAGTATGAATGCCAAGGGTGGCGTTAGTTCTTCAGCCAAGACACAGCAACAGAAAATGATTGTTTGTACAGCTTTGTTCAAGAATCACCCTCCGTGACGTTCTTGGTCAGGCTTATGAGCAAGCCAACTGCCTTTCAAATATACAAAAAACCTTTGAAATGACGGAATTTAGCGGTTTTTTTTAACATTGCCTGCATAACATGTTTAATCAGGTGTCTCTGTTGGGCTAACCAGTCTTTTCTGGGTAACAGCATTTCAAGGTGATCGCAGCTGTTATCCAATCACCGCTTAGCATTGACTTAAGTCCATGTGTCAATCAATCTGTAGCGTCCTATACTTCGAATCCCACTCACCCTGCCCTGCTTGCCTCTCATTCCCGTGAAGAAGCACAGGACAGACTAAACTGTACTGCCAACATCTGGCCTCTGGAATAGCAACAGATCCTCTGTGGGAACAATATCCCTAAGCACTTGATCGGGTTTCCCACTATGGATGGAATGGGTTCTCCTTGTACTTCTAACTTGAACCTGCTGGTTACCTTCCCCTTCTTGATTATCATACACCTTGACTTCTTCGGCTTGAACCTCATTCTTGTCCATGTTGCCATATAGTCTAGCTCTACTAACATCCATCTTGCCTCTACATGGGTGACAGTAGTAAGAGTGATGTCATCCATGAACCCCCTTATTGGTGGCTGCCTTGAACCAGAGTTCATCCTGGGGCCCTTTGCTTTATTTTTTAGTAGCTGACGCATCTATCAGTAGATTCATAACAAGCATCATGAATTAACACTAGAAATAGTACAGGTCCGAGCAGTGTTCCTTGTGTCACTCCACACGACAGGTGTTCCCATCCGGATAGGGCCCCAAGGTAATCCGGATAGGGCTACACGGTAACGTTCTGGTGATAAAGTCACACATCGACGGTACTAGTTCAGGTCTTAGTCTTTTATCAGTTTTGTGATCACTGTGTTGTGTTGTACTCTATCAAAGGCTTTGGAAAATCTGTAGTATCTATGTCTTTTACCGGCACCGGGAAGACACGGGCGGCAGTTGTCTTCCCAAGTACTCTGCTGTAAGGGCCAGGCGCTCATTTTACACACATATGTACCGTACAAGGATACAGTCCAGGATAACTATGACTTTTACAGTTAACTTTAATTATTTCTTGTGCGTTACGTTCGTTTAATATGCGGAAGTTTGATATAAGACATCATAAAATCGCTGCACTCCTTTGTCAACAGTTTCCAGGTGGATCCTTTTGAAACAATACAACAAAATCACAGGCACTACATAGTAATTATTACAATGTACATCGATTCCTAAAGTGCAGCATTGGGCGGGATGCCCTGGTTATCAGGCCAAGTAAAACATAAAATAGATTTACATTACCCCACATGCTTTTCTCCGAAATTAGTATGTTGTACATTTTTAACAGCTTTAACATTCTTCCTAGCTAACACCATAATATATTTGTACAACAAAAATAGTTGGAGAAAGTTTAAGGGCATTATTGGTTTGTTTCTTACGTATGTATATACGTACATAAGTTAACCATGTTCAGTATTACATGCATGTGACATGACAAGTATATAATACAGTAAGGCACTATGGACATTAAGCTGGTGTATTACGCCGAAAGGCGGTTATACAGATACAGATACATTTAAAAAAAAGTACAAAAAAGGAGACGCCTCACCAGCTTGTTTTGGGTCTATTGTACGCTTCATAAAATACATATAATTTAAAATTCAAATGCCAGCCCTTCCCGTCTACATCCGAATTTTTTTTAAATATTTTGAAACATTCGGCTAGCGCGGGCGAACATGTACAGTAGCCGACCTTGCCTTCCGACCTACTCCCTACCACGGCTGAAGGAGTCTGGCTAATGTACGTAACTCAAAACCCTGAGCATAGAAGTTTTCAGGATGTTCATCTTAGTTTTCTAACGTTTTGTTTCAGGGCAATGCCTCTACTGCGACAAGAGCATATGGACATTCTGGTCAAAGTAAAGACGGGGAACTACTTCGGAGCAGGGACTAACCAGTATGTGTACATCAACATCCGTAGCAAAGATGGAACGGAATCTGGCGACAAAAAACTTGACATGAGGTTTCATGATGATCACGAAAGCGGGACAGAGGAAGAGTAAGTAGTAAAATGTCCCCTTCCTACAAATAGATCATACGTTTCTCTTCTCAGACACTTGAACATTTTGCGTATTAATTTTATTTGTATTAATTCTGTAGCAATTTTAGGCCATGTTGATTTGATTTGATCGGCGCGCGCATGAATTTTCGTCCGTTTTGAAAACAAAATTTTCGACCATACTGTAAATCGCACAAAGCAACTGCAAAATTAGCAAAAACTAGCCGAAGATTGCAAAAAAATATTGAGGAACAATACTAAGTCTTAGAATGCCAGAAAATTAATTCCAAAGGAAAAGCAAAAGGAAATGTGAAGAAATGAAATTCTTCATACCATACTCTGTGTGTTAAGTTAAGTCATTAATTAAACCTTCATGACCACGTAGATTTCATATAAGGCAACTTTTTGCCAAACTTTTTTCGCACGCTCACATCGGTTTTGAGGTTTCCAGGGATGTCATCCATATAATCAAATCAATATGGCAAAAGAGAAATAACAGTCATTCGAGACCTGCGCTTCTGCCACTTTCCAAACATCCACACATGGCCTTCCGAATCATTACCTTATTGAAATATTAATTATGTATCTTTGATATGACCTAATTATTCTTATTGTTTGCCCGTTCCTATTCAACAGTAGATACATCCTTGTTGTTTATTCATCATGAAAGTTCATCTGTGTGGGTAGTAATCAAAGTAAAACATTGAAGTTTATTCCAACACAGGGGTTACAGAGCGATCAAATGTTCGACGACCACTGTCGCCTTCATCAGGATAATTAATGACCAATCACTCCACAAAGTTATGATGTAATTGGTCATTAATTATGCTTATGAAGGCGACAGTGAAAATGTGATCGCTCTGTAACCTTTGTGTTGGAATAAAGTTCAATGTTTTACTTGTTGTTTACTTGTTCACGACACCGATGGTTTGCACACGTTAAAAATTCATAACAGGTACACACTGAAGCGTGTTAAAGTGACCCCCCCAATTGAAGAGCTGGAGTTAAAACTAGGGGGGTCCAACCTGCTCCCAAATGCCCACCCAATGGAAGACTGGTTCTGCAGCTCTCTTTACGTTCAGCTACAACCAGAGGATAACGGGCCGACGTACTACTTCCCTGTGCATCGCTGGCTTACAACAGGTCAGAGTCTAACAAGTCGCAGTACAGAAGTCATTATGTTTTGTATTAATGTCAGACGTCAGAAGGCAAATGTGCGTGACTACTTTTGTATCTTGTTTCTTCCGTACTATTTTCACTGCTACATCTTCTTGGTAGCTCTTGTACTTTCTTTCTTGTTCCTTTCAGTCAATAATACAATGTCATCTGCGAATTCTAAATCACAAATTGCAATTGATGACTGGCGACTAATTTTTCTACATTCGACTTTAAAACCTAGTTCTGTTTCCCAATATTCAATTGTCTTGAGAATAAGTATGGGATATTAGGCCACAGCAAGTAAATTTTATGGATGACATCCTCCGCAGACTCCAAATGCAATGCGATAGGGCAAAAACAAAACAAGGCGGGCCAAAAAACAATATTCCTACAGTTTCAAATTTTCTCATAATAAACCTTATTAAGCAAGAAATTATACCTATATTGGGCCAGGTTTACTGCCAACTATTACAACATCCATTTGTCACTGAAAAATAATTTTTCATCATTTTACAAATGGTTTTAATTCAGCAAACATCACAAATAAAAGGAATGAAATGCATCACTGCATCATCAAAGTCAAAGATGAAACAATAAATCAGAGCCTTGTCTTGTTTCCTCTCTTCATATTTATCTGCCATCCACGTTCCAGACATCGTTGCCCACTTTCGGCAATAAAATTTCTGTGTTTTTTTTTTCAAAATCAGGCGAACACTAATTACTTGCTGGGGCCTTAAGGGTGATAGTATCATCATGTAGAACTCCAGCTTCTTATGGTTATCTTCGCAGAAGTAAAACATTTCTTTTACCCTGTTTCTTTTTCTTCCTCTTCTTCCGTTCCAAAAAAAAAATACGGTCAATAACCTGGACCAGACGGATGTCACCAAGGTAACTAGTGCGGTAGCAGACACCCTGTGACGTTGGGTTACATTATGTTGCAAGCGGCCGGGTGGAGTTAGGGAGGCTATTCTCTATATTATGAATGTGTTCAAGTAAGCATAAACAGCAGCAGTTTGTTACGCTAGACCGTGTGGAGGTAAACATCATGCATTTGCTTAGCTTAGAAAAGGTCAAATTTCTAGTTTCTTCCGTCTTGATCAGTGATATGACTGCAGAAACACCCCTTTTTGTTTGACCAAAAATATAAACCTGGCTTCCATTAGACTAGGCCCACATTTCTTGCTAAAACCGGAGTTCTGTCCGATTTGTATTTTCAGGTAGCTCGGTGTGGCTGGTTCCAGGCGGTTGTGTCCTCCCCCAGGATGAGAAGCATCCGGAGCAGAGGAAGGCTGAGCTCAAAGTCATGCGGGAGCGCTACGCCTCCAAAACCGCCGTGGAAGGCCTTCTGCCAATGGTATATGGCTGATCGGTTTCCTTAATGTATTTATCTGAATTTTTTTTACTGGTTGGCCCTTTCCAAGATGTCTCATTCTTTAACAATACCCTGCTAAATGGCATAGCGTACATGTAGCCCCACCTTATAGCTTACGGACTATTGTAGAGGTCGTGCGTAAATAGAATATGGTGTTCTATGAAGATTACTACATGTACACGTGTAGTATTTGGTATCATGTTATGGTTTTCAACGATGCCTTTCCAACAAAATATTCCTTGTGCGTTAAAGGTTTATTCGTTTTCTATTAGATTTACACACAATTTTTCTCTCTCCC